ATAAGATGACTGAATTGGATCATCTAATATGTCAAGTTCTATAGACAAATTTTGGAATCTTTTTTGTATTTGGTCTCATTAAGTGAGTACATAGAAGGCTAACTTCAAACCTTGGTTCTTTGCTTTTTGTGTAGAGTATTTAAAACCTGATCAAGGAAATTTTAGAAAATCAAAGCAAGTCAGGATACAAGGAAGGCAGGCTTCCTGATGCTGTTACAAAGTGGTCACCTACAGGCTGAAACTGACCTGAACTCCTTAAGGTGTTTTTCAGGTTAAAAAAAAAAAAAAAAAAAGTTCATGCTTTCAAATTTGAAAGAATCAAAACTGACCATCTAGCTTCTCTGGAAAAACTGACAGGTTAGGTTAACTTTGGGTCTCACATTTCCAGTCAGCTAAAGGGCCAGTGTGTATTTTCCAACACCCCCAGGTCATTCAGTCCACCCTGGTACCTTACATTACACTCCTGGGTCCCTGCCATTGCCTCTGCACTACCCATTTGCATGCGGGGCTGATGGTCATCCTACTGTGTTAATCAACTAGGAGAACCCAGCCAAAGAATTCTTAACCTTTCATGGTACTTCTGGAAGCTTCCATTTATATAGCTTGCATTTAAGTCTTAATTTTCTGTTTTTAATCATGAAGTACACCTTCATTAGATTATCGTCATATGATAATATTTATTTGCTAAATGATATAGAGCTAAAGTACTTAATTCCTTTTCAATATTGGTGAATGCTTTCACTGAAGGTGGAAACCTGATGCCATTTTTTTAAACCCTTGTCTCAATACACTATCCTAGCATAACATGGAATCACCAGAATGAACTCTTGTGATTACTTTTTAAAGCAATTTTAATTTATCAATAAAATTGTGTATCCATAAATCCAAATTGACTCTAGCAGGAGTCAACAGTAAATATTTAAAAAGCTGTTAAGTAACCATAGTTGATTTCTGGTATTAGAAAATATTATCTGTTCATCAGTTTTTAATTTACTAGTTAGTAGTCTTGGTCATGGAAAAACCGACTGAAAACCATTTTTGTTATTAAATGTCTGGACCTACCTTTCACCTGATGCAAAAAGCTTAAAAGAATGCCACCTAGCACATGCACTACAGTACACTTACGATTTTATGATTGAATGCGTTTAGCCCTTAGTAACCTGACCACGCATTAATATCGATAAGTTAATAGATTGAATATAATTCTCAATCCTTGGTACTGTTTTCAACCTATTTTTTTTTTTTAAGAGCAATAATAGCTGATACTTGAAATACTATCCTCATGATTATTTTTAAAAGGGGGAGGTGGCTGATACCTTACTAATGCTGTGCAAACTTGTATTAGTAACAAATCACCATGGCAGTGGGGGAATGAAGTTAAATCCCTATTTGGAAAACATGAAAAACTCTAAGAAACCAATGGGTTTGATTTCAAAGCCATGGAATCCAGGTTTGCATTGTTTTTGTGTATCCTACAAAGGATATAGAGAATCTAGCAGATTGGGCCAGTCTATTGTAACCTTAGTCAACAAGAGAGAGATCTAACTTTTGTCTTTCAGAAATCTAATGGCGAAAGGGACAACTTACCCATGACTAGCCTTCAATTCAATTGGTATATATACATCTTAATCCTGAAATTGCCTTGGGGTAGTAACTAGTTAAATCAAGACTGCCAGTAGGTGGCGCCCTGACAACTTCGCCAACCCTCAGTGTTACAGGTGACCAGAGACCTGCTTTTCCAAGTGTCTGCAATTAGTGCAGTATCACTGCTGATGAAACTCAAACTCTCCACTTGCTTTTTGAGGTTTTGAGTCTGCTTTTCCTGAAACCCTCCATTACATACTCCTCTTGCATGCACACCTCAGGACTCTGGGGCCAAGATGAATTTACTGTTTCCTAGTTCCTGGCTCTCCTTGTTTCCACCCTCACTCAAAATGCCTTCCCCCTGAAGCTGCTCGCCCCCTAGCAATACCATCAACTCACTGTGCTCACTGCCCTCAGACCTTTATGTTATTCATCTTGGTTCATGCTAGACTAGTTAGCTCCATCTTCCTATCAACCCTGAAACTTTGAAATGGACAACCGGGTCAATGGTACCCTAGAACGTCAGTTTCTTAGTCTCAACTCCAGTGTTCTTTTCCTCCATGTCACTTCTATCTGCTGCCATGTTCTCACTCAGGACCTGTGAATCACAAGGACCACTGAACAGCTCTGCTTTTGATACTAAACCTGATATTCCACTCCAACCCTATGGTCCTATTCTTCCCTTCACTGACCTATTCCTGAAAGTGCTGTGCACCATCAACTTTGATGCCTGGATTTCCTTGTATGTTAGCCCCTCTGCCATACTGAACATGGACTTTCCTCTGTGCTTGAACAAATAACTTGTCTAATCATGGAAAGAATCACAAATGTCACAAGTGACTGCAAATAAAACATCTTGATAGTTGCTCTATAGATGGTAAATGGTAGTTCCTAGTTCTTTTCCTTGAATGCTCAATCTAGTCCACCTTGAATCACTTAACTACACTCTCCATTACATACTCTCTTTGCCAATCTCCCTGCACAAGTTCCACCTTTGGTACACTACCAACACCTACTGTTCCCATTATCCTGGAAAAAGCAGCAGGAGAAAAAAAAAAAATTAAGCAGTTGGTAAGGTTGATAACTACCAAGTAGTCAACTATCAAAACATCTAACCAAGCCATCTCCATCTCATCCTCTGCCTACCCTCATCTGACCTTTTACTCTGTAGTGTCAGTTCTCTCTCTTCAAAATACTTCTGTGCAGGGTTTTGTCTTGGGCTTTCTTCTCTTTCTGGGCCAAGGAGGAGGGTTTAGGTTTGTAAAATCCTGCAAATGGAACATAAGGTGAGATACTGCCTGTCTGTCAGATCTATATGATTCTTGGGATCTACCAGAAAAAAAAAAAAATCACTGAATTGACAGGATTGAATGAATCCATAGCCTGAAAATGCCACCTGTCAGTGTTGGACGTTGGGCAATACACTTACCTTTCCACAACAGTATGACTGAGAACAACATAATACTCTACTGTATGAGTTTTTTTTTTTTTTTTTTATTTATTTATTTTTTATAGAGGCATTATTTATTTATTTGTTTGTTTTGTTTATACATGCACTGGGTACAGTCAGAAGCGCGGGAGGGTGAGAGAATTCACCAGAGCCAGAGCGGGGAGCAGAGCAGGCAGAAGGACCGAAGTACACTGCTGAGGGGAGCAGCGGGCGGCAGGAGAGGTCTGCGCGCCATGCGGGACCCTCCTCCGGTGGCCGGGGAGCAGCCGGGGATCGAACCGGCGCCGTGGAGACCGAGGGCAGCTTCGCAACCCAGCGCTCAACCGCTGCGCCACCAGGGAGGCCCTCTACTGTATGAGTTTTATGAGAAAGGTAACATACTAAATATCTGGCATATTGGGCACTCCGCTAGAAAAGCTTTAACATAAACATTAGTTAATTACACAGCTACCTACTTTTTCCTCAGAAAGGTGTTTTTCCTCATGAACTCTAACGGCTATATTTACTATCCCAAAGTGAAAGACAACCCTCCACCTCTACAGCACAACCTTTCCTCCTAAGCTCCATCCAGAATGTACATACAGCCAACTGGGTGCCATACTTGAACTCTGCTCCAGCAACTCAAATTCATCATTGTGTATTCTCCATTACTACATCAAGTTTCACTTAAATTTCATCAACTAGCTTAGTCAAACTAGAAATTTACTATCTTAGACTCCCTTTCCCCTTAGTGCTAACCATAATTAGAACCTAAAATTTTTTGGTTCTAACATCAAAGGTCTCTGGAATTGGTCCCCTCTTTATCAGCAGGGTCACAGTCTTACTTTAGAAATTTAATAGCTCTTACCTGGATTATTCAGCACCTTATTTTATCCCAAGGTTCTCATCTGTCCATTCCATCCCCCATAGTTCTTGGGAGGGTCCTATGTGATTGAGGATTTTTAAAAAAATAAGTTTTAGATTTTTCCCTTACCCTGACACTTTTTTTTGTGGGGGGAGGGCTGGTTGTCTCACATTCCCCTATCTGCTAAGAGATACCCTGTTAGTGCTAGCTTTGGTATATGGGCTTAGGTCCTGGAAAATGAGAACAACAGGCACCAAGAACTGTACATTTACAAGGTAAAATACTAGTTTAATGCCCATAAGCAACAGGAGCAAGTTTCTTACTAGACAGTAGAGTCTGAAAGAGCAGTGTTACAGCGCATCCTTTCCCCCTAACAGTAGAACATGGATCAAGGGAGAGGACCTTAGGCTTGATTAAAGACCAGTGTTTGATTAGGACTTGGGAGTATATGGAAGACAGGTTGGAGGCCAAAGAGTGAAAACACAAGAATAAAGGAAAGAGATTTAAATGCACCTTTGATGTTCTTCCATCTCCAGTAAAGATTTAGGCGGCTTTTACTTTAGGCAGTTGCCCTGTGCTGTGCGGGAACGGACCATGATATACCTCTGCACATTGTTCTGAAAATGAAGGTCCCATGACACTTAAGGTCCTTCCTTGACACTCTGGTGCCAGTTTGTCTACCCCATGAGCCCCTCCCTTCCAGCAAGTGTCACCCAGAATTATTCTCCAGTCCCTTTTGATACCTGTGGTTTCCCAGTTTCCTCCCTCTGCCTAGAATGACCTTACTCTACCTTTCTACCATTGGATTTCCAAATGCCAATTCCAAACTGCCACACACCCTCGACCTGGGATAGTTCCGCTATTCACGGCCAGGCTACCTGGAAGGGAAGGGAAGTAAAAAGAGTAAGAGATTTAATTTAGTCAGTGAACTTCTGGAGGAAGAAGCTCAAGGTGAATGGAGTTAGATAACTTCTTAGAAATGCAGTAGGATGCTTCTTAGAAATGCATTTGAGTGGAGTTGACATAAGAAAGGAGTGAGTTGTCTATGGGGTTTTGGGGGTTAAAACCAGCCCGATGCCTTTGCATAAGATATGAACATTATTTCTGATATACAAAGCAGCTGTTTCCCTTTTTATTTTAGGCAACAAAAAACACTTTGCAATTTGTTAGAATGATTTATTTGTAAATGGCAAAACTAGCCAGATTTCTAGAGATAAGAGTATGTTGTACTCTGACTACTACTAAAATGCACTCGTAAAGGGAGGTATTTAAAGGAAGGAAGAGATCAGACCAGCTCTGGATTAAAAAAAAACAAAACAAAAAAAACCAAAAAACAAAAAACTTACCTCTGACCAAAATTGACTCCATGCCATCAAATTTACATATAAGCAAGTCCTACTGGGGATGTGTTTCTTAATCTATTAACTCCCCTTTGTTTCCTTCACAAACCTGCAGGACAAGAATGTGGCAGTGCCCACTGCTGACACAGTGAATAAGTTTTCCAAAGCAAAGCTCTGTGCCCAAGAGTGGAAACATCCTCAACCCTTAAAGGAGTACTTAACTTGTAAAGAAAGGAAGCTAAAGGAAGTTTCACCAGGATTTCTGATGGCAAAAACAAAAGTCCAACCAGATTGAAAAGGGTTTAGTATCACGAGGCAGAAACGTGTGAAATATTTCATGCAGCCAACCTTATTTATTGAGAAGTCCTAATTTTATTGCCCATTTAGCAACATGTTTGTTCAACAAACTAATTTCTCATAAAGCAAAGCACAACTTTTTCTTATAAATAGTATAAATTATTTTATTTACAGAAACTTGTTACAAAACAAATAGACTATATATTTCTTCTCTTTTAAATATCCAAAGTAATTTTCTATCCCTTGACATTTGTTCATGTTCTATACAGCAGCCAACACACAAGTCCAGCTGAGATGCTCTTGATTATGTGTACAAATTATCAAACTATTCACACATTTTAACACAGGAGATTGCTTTTATAACCAAGCTCAAAAACAAAACAACAGCAAAATGCTTTCAAGGCCCTACATTCACACTGACAGTATGTAGTGCTCATTTAAATGATCTGAAAATGTAAAATGTTTTGCACAAAATGTAAAAATGATTATTTTCTGCTAAACAATGAAACTTTTAACAATCATTTTTCAAAGCCCAGTTCCCCTCCCCCGCAGGACATGAGAGATATTAAGAAATTCCTTGGCAACAGAACTCTTGTAGGAAGACAGCTGCCTTTATAAATTACATTTTCCAAATTATACATTTTTCCAATATCCTCAGAGGTACTTGCATTATATTTTTGGAATACAAAATATTTCAAATATTCTATTTTAAACTCTGTATAGTTCATGAGTGAATAACAAAACGGACACATTGTGTAAGCTGCTGGCTGACAGAGATTTGAACCCTTGGTGCCAATGGATAATCCATCACCAGTTGAGTCATTGTGAACCAAAATGTCTTAATTTTAAAATACCTTGTAAAATTACCAGCATTGGTGGTTTTCAATGCCTTCTCTAAAATTTTTGAAATAATATTTAGGTGGAAAAAGCAAACTCCAAAAGTTCAACTGAACATTCAAGTCATTTTAAAGAGAGTCTGTCTATGCTTAAAACTAGGTTCAGGCACTTTCAGTTTTTTTTTTTTTCCATTAGTTTTAAATCACATCACATACTAATAACACACATGTGCTCAAGGTACACACACACGCGCACACACACACAGAAATACGTGCACGCACACACACTCACACATAAAACACTAACAAAAAAAAAAGCAGTGTGTCACTTAGATATTTGTAGTCTATGGGGAAATCAGGCAACTAGGGAGAAGCAATGCCCACTTCATCTGTATGAATCCACTCCCGAGACATTAAAAGGGACAAAAAGACTTTCACAGAACAGAGGCATCCCTTAAACTGTAAAGGAGGCAGGTTCTAGAACTATTGGCTTGGCAGTGAACCACTTCAAATTATAAAAAGGTTTTTACTTTTATTAATTAATAAATAAATACTAGATGATCTCAATTGTACCAAAACAGGATATCAGAAAAAAAGACCTGTGCAAAAATACATATTTAAATATGTACAATTCATTTTTAACAAAATATGTCTTCTGAAATAGGGATACTTCCATATTTATAATAGAACAAGAAATTCCAAAATAAAGATACAAAAGTAGGTTTTGTATAATTCTTTGTTCATTGCAGCACTTTTTCTTTTTTGTAGGTTAAGAAAACTGTAGGAGTTGTCGTGAAATTCTATTGGAAAGTATATAAAAATTATCTTGGTTTTAAATTGATACCAAAGTCTGTCTAGAAACAACCCAACCACTGCAAATTTGGTTTTGCAAGTTAATTTAATTCAAAAAAATACCTGTACTCCCATGTTTTAAATGGTCTTAATTGTTCATCAGTACTAAAAAGTAGTTGTAGGAGAAAATAAAATATTTGAACAACAGTCTAAAATTTAATAGCACTGTTTAGAATAGGTCTGTTTGTGGCAGGCAGAATCCAAAATGGCTAAATTCCTAATCCCGATGTTCTGCGTACTACCGGGAGACATAATGAAATTCAATTAAAACCTCATTCTAAGAAATCAAATGATCAACACTTGCTAATCTAAATATCTACATTATTCTGAATCAACTTACTATCATGGATCCTATTCACATCTTTTGGAACAACATGATCTGTCTATAAATTCCATCGCTAAAAGCAATTTTATTTATAACCATCCAGTCCCCTTGGCTCTGAAAATAAATTCTACCCATACCCCATTGCACTTGTCACCAAGGAATCAATTAAGTATATTCTGATTCCTCTTACCTCCTTTCTCTCCTTCCATTGGGATGGAACAACCAGACTGATTTCTTCTAAATGCACCAAACTGGCCCATCCATGCTCTCTCCTTACCATTTTAAAAACATTTGCTCATTGATTGCATAATAAGTGAAAAAGATAATGTTCTCCCCCTTTCCTTAAAAAAAAAAAATCAATATTTTACATCAATTTATAGCTAAAGTATCTGCATAATTTTTTTTGTTTTCTTACATAATAATTCTGTAGCAATTCACATTATTAGGCTGGTCACCAAGTATTTATTCATTCTACCTGTTGTTGACTTGAAATTCCCTGAAAATGACGTTTGTAACCCAAGGATTGGGGCTGGGGGGAAGGATGCACTGACTGGCTGGCTCTGCCCAGCCCAGCCCAGCCCAGAGCAAGGATTAGAGCTTTAGGAAATTTACCCTGTGTTTAGCAACTCTGTGTGTTGATCTCAGCAAAAGTGCCTGGCTCTTATTTCAGGAGCTGTGGTGGTGGAATCACCTGTGAAAAAGCCCCAGCTCATCCCCCGATGAAACCTCAAGCAATAATGTATTAGCATCTTTTGTTCTTTTTTGGGGTAGGGGGTTTAGAAAAATATCCCAGAGGGTGTTCCAAAGTTCTCTCAGGAAGGTGGCTGTCATTAACAACAAGCAAAGGTGGTGTTGGGGAAATACAAGATACACATCACATGTCTCTGCATAGGTACCTGTACACTTCACCAACTCCCCTCCCTGGATACCTGCTCCCTACACCCAAGGGCATTCAAATAAACATCTGTAGAGGCACGATGGGGGTCCAGACACACACATAATATGGGGTGTGATCAAAGCAGAAATTTATACTTTGTCCCAGGACAATCCAAATAGGAGGTTGTGGGTTAGTGCAGAGTGGAAACATGTGAATATTAATGACTTTGTGAGTGCTACTTCTGCTGCCTCCTAATAATTTCACTTTACAAAGGCAATTGTTTGACGAGGGAGACTAGGCAGGTCAACTAACCCAATCTACCAAATCTGTTTAACATACAAAATTAAAGGATTAAAAAATTCCATCTCTTTGGAAATTTTGGAGAAAATTTTCCCCATAGTGACTTTTTCCACCTGCTCCTCTCCCCAACAAAATTTGGCTTTCCTATATCAAAATTAGTTTGCATATGAATTTTCCTTTTTTAAGGAACTGTTTTTGTACCATGAAAAGTAAACCTCTAAAATGGTGCATGCTTGCTCTCTGGGCATTAGTGGCTCTAAATCAGTTTGTAAGTTAGAGACGTCTGAAAACTTTCCCAAGTTATTTGCAAAAGGCTGGGCAAAAATACAGGCTATTTTGTCATGGTGTCATGCCCCTAACATCCCTATTCCATTTGTACAACATCCCTATAAAAACCTAACATCAGATCCCCTTCTCCGGAGGCTTGCTCAGTGGACAGCTCTGTCTCTCATCTGGAAGATGTTTTCAGTTAAGGTGCCTAGAGACCTACAGAAGACAGCATAAAAAGGAATTGGGGCAGGGAGAGTAGGAACAAAGTCTAAAGTAATTTTCCTGCCAAAACATTCTTTCACCCAGCCAATCTACTCAGAGTGGCTCCATGATATACTGCAAGTTAAAAAGCAAAACCAAAGCTTCTCACAGATTGGTAGCAAGCAGTCCAGACCACTTTAACACTGATAAGCAATTCGGTGGCTGAACTTGATCCAGTGTCCTTTACAAGTACTCACTGCTACAGACATAGCTTCAGGGAAATCCTTGTTAAACAACAGCCCGGCAGATTTCTACCCTTGAGGCCCACAGGAGGTTGGGAAAACAGACTCAAAGGCATCGTGGAGTCCAGATTGCTGAGTGGAGGTGTAACTTGTCGCCAAAGTGTCCAGATTATTCCTCCCCATGTTTTTTTCAGCTGTCAGGGACGTGCCTTTGGCTTTCAAAAAAGAGGGGGTGGGGAAATAATGACAAGGTAAGTAAGTGGTTATACACGGCACTGCCCTGATTCTAAACAAGAATATTACAAAGGCCACATGCCACTAAAGTCTCCACTGACTGGATGATGCCAGAAGCAGTCAGCTACAGAACATGACCTTAGCTTTAAAAAAACCTTCACTGCTCTCAGCCACAATCATTCCAAAAGACTAAGTTCCAGTGAACTGTCTAGAAGAGGGGCAGGCTAAATTTTCCAACTTAGGAAAATAGCTCAAATTACTTTTTTGTTTTATTTGCTGATTTTGTTTCCTTGAGGGTAGGTAATTCCAGGTTGTCAAATGAGAACTGAAAAAGGTCAAGTGGGCTAACACACACAGGTGTGAAAACTCACACCCAATACAGTGCCCATGCCAGGGAGAAAGAACTCTGGACTTCACTGTCCCACAGTGAGCTATTTTTAAGTTCCTGGTGGCAGAGGCCTTGAACAGAACTGGGGCGGGGGGAGGGGGGTGCTGCTCAGCAGGTACCCCTGTATTTCTCCTGTTTAGGAGGATCCTGCCAGCTCAGTTATCTGTATTTTAAAGTCAGCTCCACCAGGAACAGTGAGTTGAATCTTTTCTAAGCAGAGCAATCTTAAAAGCATTTTTGGAGTTAGGAATCCCTTTGATTCAGATGAAAGCTATAGGACCCTCTTGCAGATAAATGTTCATAAACACAAAAATATGCAACACTTTTTTGGGGAGTTCACTAAGTCTCTGATCTCTAGCCATGGGTCTGCTAGGGTTTGTGTAGCATAATAAAAAGTATTCCACTACACAGAGAAAACCTTTCTCAAAGTTGAAATTAATTTAAGGAAAAGAACCCAAAGCTGTTTGTCATAGTGGATGTATTGCCCTACAGATGGTGACAATCAGAGGTGGCAAACTGATAGTTTGTAAGTCCAATTTAGCCAACACATGTGTGAGCTACCCCAGTTTAAAAAAGAAAACACGAAACTACATAGTTTAAAAAACAAGTCCATAGGGCCTCCCTGGTGGCGCAGGGGTTACATTCACAGCACTATCAAGCTATCACCAGCCACTTTGGCATGAGTTCAATCCCAGCCAGGGAGCTAACCCACATGGCGGAGCAGACCTCTCTTGTCTCGCCCGCTGTTCCCCTCAGCAGTATATTTCAGTAGATCGGCCTGTTCTGCTCCTCACTCTGTCTCTGGTGCATCCTCTCATTCCCCCCACACCCCCACCTCTGGCCTACATCCCAGTTTTTGTATGCATAAATAAGTAAAAAATAAATCTTTAAAAAAAAGTCCATAGTTCTCATCCAAGTCCATCTGTGGTTTCTCTTTGAAACTGGTAACAAGTTGCTAGGAGCAGTCTCTTCTCACAGAAGTTTTCCAGTCACTGTTTCACACAGCACCACCCCTGTACCCCAAACCCCCACCTCCTAGATCCTCCTCTCCTTTCTGTTCCTGTGGACACTCAGGTCTCCAAGATAGCAAATAAATGGGTGTGGGCATCACACCAGGATGGTGTACTGTCCTTTGGGGCTCATTGCATCAGGAAACTATACTCAGGAGGGAGTTTTAAGGGATTGGAATTGCACTTCTTTCTGTGCTTGCACTGCATCTTTATGCTCATCATAAACCTTAACGAGTAACTACAAATCAGGAAGTAAAAGCACAATTTTCACTTGTCCAGGAACCCTCTGCTTAAATAGCCAAATAACACACAGACAGCCCATACGGACATGGCACTCACAGAAGAACTGAAGCAGCTGATATTTAAACTCATGGATAGTTATTTCCCCTATACTGCTGGCACTTGTCATTAGTGCACACAGATATTAGAGGGAATTGAAATCATAGGAAGAAACTTCTCAGTATTTTCTGAAAAAGCCCTAACCTGACACCTGAGCTGTTCAAAGGAGGAAGAACAAAAAACCATAAAAAAGTCCACATTAAAGCAGGGCTCTGGGGTGGTGCCACTGACACTTCTGTTAGTAAACAAGGTGAGGAGATATCCTGGCAAATGAAATAAGAAGGTGAGAGAGGCATTGAAATAAGAACAAAGGAAGCTGGGAAGAAATGGCAGTGTATAGGAGAAATCAGGAGAAAACAGCGACAGGAGAAAGAGCTGGGAAAAGACAAAGCTGCAGTGCGAAAGGCCAGGTTAAGGTGACTCCGAAGCCACTCAGCCACTCTCTACTAATGGACCCACATTTATTCTTTTCAATCTGTTAACTAAAGAGATTTTAGTCTTCTGCTATACCCAAACTCACTGCTCTTTCCCTGACTCCCTGAAAAACAAGGGTAAGAAACTTAACCAGAGAGAGATTTAACCAGAAAATTGGAAATTCTTCGCTGGGCAAAGTATTAAAAGTTTTCTTTATAAAATTTACATCATCACAGTTTGAGATGAATTTTGATTTCAGCCCAGCTTTCTTCAGAGGAACAAACTAGAGTCTCTCCAGGAAACACTGCCTGCTTCCTTCCTGGTCGGCAACACAGGGAGCACACTGCCCCTGGGGCCTCCACTTCTAGGCTATAGGAGCATTTTGCTCTGAGGAGGCCTCCCACAGCCCTATCTGCTAAAATGGACTTCCACGGCTTCCTTAACCAGGAGTGTCTTCCCAGTCATCAGAAAATAGCCTGCTTCACCTTCCACAGCCTCAAGCCCTTCCTTCTTTTAAAAGATACCATGAAGCAAACCACCCACCCCATTCCACAATCTGAGCTGGTAAAGGTTCTCAAGGGAGGGGAAATGGGCATCCCCACTGGGCTCACAGTCCATTTCCTACCTGATGGAGGAGGGTACTATTCGTCAGTCCTTGTGCCCCGGGGCTGGTACCCGAGTGTTTCACGTGGACATTATTCATGGCTGGCAATTTGGCAACCTTGGTGGGTTTGCTGCTGCTGCTGCTGCTGCTGTTGTTAACGCTGCTTGAACCGGGCGAGCACTTCCTTTTCTTTCCTATGAGTTTGTCTAGAGGAGTGTGTGTATATGAAAAACTGCCATGGGAGTTGACAGGCAGTTCGTTGGACTGGTGAATAAACGGGCCAAGAGAAAGTGTGGAATCACTGCTGTTCATCATCACACTCATCCTCTTGATGGATTCAGCAGGACTCCCGCCGGGGGGGCCCCTCCCTGACTGGTCGTGCCGGACACTCACCGAGTTCGTTTTTGTTGCCACACAGTTGAGGCCGATGCCGTGGGAAGATGTTACCGTTGAGGTGTAGTGGGGCCCAGAATGAGCCACACAGTTTTTCCTAAAGGACTCCATGGAATGAGAAGAAGAAGAGGAGGATGAGGATGAGGAAGAAGAGTGAATTAACTGAGGGGAATTGTTTTTGCGTTTCTTTCCTGAGCCGCCACTGGTACTGCTACTGGCGTTGTGACAGTTAGTGCTGCTACCAGAAGACTCCTTGGGCCTTAAAGACTTGCTGGATTTCAATTTCTGAGGTTTTCTGGACATAGGGGAGGAGGGCACTGAGGAAAGGCCAGAGGGCGTGGAAGGGGATGAGGATGAAGAGGACACTTGTCTGGATTGCATACTGCACACAGGATCCATTGCCCCACACACGGCAGGCTGTGCATTTAATGTGGTTCCATGCGCTGGTACCGATTTGTTATTTGGGGAGATACAGGTGGATGAGAGCAGTACTGGGGGTGCAGACACAGTGGCTGCTGCCATATAGCTGACCCCACATTGTGATGTCGGCACAGAGTTTGTCCGGTGAGGAACACGGGTGGAGACTGGTGATGTGGTGCTGGGCACTGGTGGGATTTTCCTGCCAAAAATGAAAGAGTAGTGAGGGTAGCCATTCATGGAAACTTTCAGATGGATACCCCTTCTCCTCTGGCACTGAAAACCGCACCCCTGACAGCCCTCTGAAACCCAAAGCCAATCTTGTCACTTTCACCTTCAAATTTTTACCACCTTCAAATCCTTTGGGCATTCCTGGGGCTCTCAGGATATGACTGCCTCACCCAATGCCACTGCGTCAGCTTCCTCCATCACCACCCCTCCAACACCTGCTTTGGTCACTGAGTTTCCTTAAGTTGTTAGACTATGCCATGATGTAAGACCCTGAATATATCTACCCACAACAGTCTTATCCTGACTTCTGCTCATCATTTAGATTCAGTTCATCCCCACTTTCTTAGAAAATCTGTCCTTATGGTCCTGACCTGCCCAGTTCTCCCCAGACTTGATGACTCAGGGGAGTTTTAATTTATGATTATTTGTCAGAAAAAGCAGCTGTCTGACTTCTTTGTAGATAGAGCAGCCCACACCTTATTTACCATTGTAGCCCCAGTGCCTACAGAAGGTATTTTTGAGAAAATTCACGACTGGATGGGGGAAAAAGGGAACAGTTAATTAAGAATAACTGCCAGGTCCTAACGATCAGCTTTAACAACTGTACAAGGGACCGAAGCTCCCAATCTTGGGGGACTTCTAGTCACAGCATGTAACAATGTGTTCTGTTACTAATGTATGGGGGTAAGGTGTCTATCTTGGGAAAAGGGTGCCACTCAAATAATCAAGCCAGGAATATCCTTATTATTTTTAGCTCTGATTTTGAAGTGTGACAGTACCAAAATTTTCAAAAATCTCTAGGGAAGAATTAACATTGGGGCAAAATAGCAAATGGCCTGACTGGAAGGCTGTTGCCAAGACTGGTCCCCTCCTGACTGTATAGAGCAGCTTTGACCGACCCAGTCACCCCACCAAGCCAGGCTCCACTTACTCATCTTTCAAGTAAGACAGCTGGCCTAGATTGCGGCCAAACTACTTTCCAGATGCTTTTTAAGAAGATGCTTTTTAAGAAGTTATTAATAAAATGAATTATTTATTGCAAGTGTTTGCACTGGCTTTAAAACCCTCACTTAGCAGTGTAGCTCTGGTCCTAGGTCAGTATTTCTTGACTTTGGTTGCCCATAACAACCAAAGCTACACCCAGACTACAGCAGAATCCCTGGGGTGGGGGTCCAGACATCAGAGGTTTCTAGATTTCTCCAGGAGACTCCATAAAGAAGGCAAGCTAGATAAGCTGGGCTTTATCCCCACACTCCACATGGAGGACAAACACCAACATTACCTGAGAGGATTGTAAAGAAATGCCGAGTTTCAGGGACCTAGACCTACTGCAGCAGAATCTGTATCTCGACAAAGATCTACAGACCAGTGAAGAGCACTAGAACCTCTGCGAAGACATGCTCTCTTGGTATAGGAATTCCTGTTCATTGGGTGTGGTGGCTACTCATAACCACTAGGTGGCTTAGGAAGTCAGAGCCTAAAGCCCAGGCAGCTGGAAACAAATCCTCACAAAAGGAAAATTTGGGCTTTCAGTGAGGAGAGGATGTGGATTTCTCTACACAAAGCTCCTTATAATGTTCTTTTAAGTCACCCACTACCTTTTGTGTAAAGAAGAGACAAAATAAGAATATACAGTCATATTGACCTTGTATGCATAAATGAACTCTAAAAATACACAAACAACTAATAATAAAGATTGTGTCTGTGGAGATGGGTTGGGAAACAGGAGTGGGGGAGCAGGAGGATTAAAACTTTACTGGATACCTCTTTGTATATTATTTGGTTGTTTAGCCAAGTGAATTTATTACCAATGTAAAAATCAAAAAACACCAGCATCGAACACAAAAACCCCAAAACCCTTTTATGCCCATTCCAGTGGAATAGTGGCCCCCAAAAAACAGTGGTCAAGAGGTTCACAGGAACAATAGGAGCTTGGAGATGGCCTTTCGGGTCAAAGCCAAGATCCAGAGGAAGGACTGGTCTCATTTCATAAGCAATCAGAGATTCCACACACTGGAGATGACACATTTCATTGCTATAACCTAGATCCCACCTCCACTTACCCTCCAATTAACCACAATCAACAACAGCCAAGGGGGCTAACAGTCCCAAACTGGTGCTCGTCCTGTAAGGGAGGATTTTCTATTGAGCCAACAGTCTGGGACCTGGACCACTTCTGCAAGTTTCCTCAAGTGCCTCAAAGATGCCACCTGAGACTAGTTCTTCTCTGTTAAGAAGTGCCAAGCCACTGCCAACAAATCTCAGGAGATGGATGCCTGAAAAGGTTGTTTGAGTCCACTGGCTACATTCCTATTGGGATTGTTTCCTCAAACACCTGGCCTGGCTCTTCTCTCCGAACTTCTGTCTGTCCTAGTCTGCACCAGCGCATCATGGAACAACATGTCTTTCTTGCCTGTATGGACTGCTTTCAATGTAAAGGTCATGTTAATGGAAAGAAATAGTTTCCTCCTCAATGGAAGTGAGTGAGTGATAAGACAGTGAGTTTCATACAGAAAAAAGAGAGAGGAAGAATGAGCAAGACAGTGAAAACACATTCAAGATCCTACTTTTACAAAAGTTCACAGTACAAAGAAGAAAACCTATCTACCCAAGCCCCTAGGAATTGAAATTACCTTCATCCAATTATTGGCCATAAGACATGTATCAATATAATGGGGATAAAGTATTCTAAGAACCCTTCCAAACTTCCAGGAGTTCACTAAACTCAGAGTTTAGTGAGCACACTGAACTCCTCAAGTTTTATCAGGTAGTCTGGAGAAAGAGCAAGCTGAGATTTCATGTATCTTGTCAAGTTCTGATATGATGTGGAGGGGTCCCCCCACCCCCAATATCTTGACAAACCACTGGCCTAAGTCAGTCGTCTGTCTCTGGCAAAGGTAATGTTCTTCAAAGAGGAGGAGTCTCTTACCTAGCAATACCAGCTATAAATGTGAAATAGAAACTCTGACTTTATTAAGAAACCAAAGCAAGGAGGCAGAGTTCACTCAATGATGCCCAAATTGGGACGATCTGAATAACCAAAGAGTCCCCTTTAGTAAAGCTACAGTTTCCAAACACTAGTTCCACCAAACATTAGCTCCCCAAGAATTTAAGAACTTATTTGTCTTAAGAAATGCTCCCAGGTCAAAAGAGCTTGGGAGATGTTCCACATTGTACACAACCTGCTGAGTTACAGTAGACAGCACCCCATTAAAGGCTCCAAGAAGTCTTTCAGGAATGAAAACTATTTTACTTCAGAAAAGACTGAGGTAAACCTTTTAGGCCTTGTAACTGCTCTTCTTCTTAAAGTCTTGTTTGGAAAACATTAGCATACACAATGCCACACACAGTGATTGTGTTTTATCTTAAATTGTAAATCAGAGCACAAGCTTCTCTACCCTGTTCTCAGCTCCCCACTGCACGCAGGATCAATTTCAGTGGCATCTGGTCCCTGCTCGTCTCTCCATCTTGTCTTGTACCATGATCCCATTTCTACTATTTCAAACAAACCACATTCTTTGCTGACCTGCACACACTTGGTTTCTTCTGCCTGGAACTCTCCCTTGCCCCATCCCCATCACCGCTCTTTCTCATCCCTCTCTCTCTGTTCCATGGGCACTCCTTCAGAGATGCAGCCCTCTGGCCTGCTGAGTTTCCCATCTCAGTTCTTTCCCTTGAACCAAATTGCCTGTGGGTCCAAATTCTGGCCTTACCATGGACTTGCTGTGTGTAACCTTGTTTCTAAGTTACACAATCTATAAAACGGGGCTAATCAAGGTCACCTGACACAGAGCACTGCATATTAAATACACTTAATAAGTTTTCTGGCACAGAGCCAGCTCTCAGCAAATGGTCAGTAATTTTTGTTTCTATTATCTTTCTTATGACAAGCTATAATCTCTATTTGTTTTCTGTGTATTGGTTTTTGTGTTTCTCTACCAATTAGAGTATGGACTCCGAACATGTGGAAGTTCCTCTGCCTGCAACCCCACCACTCAGAACAAGACAAAGAGTTGGTGAATGAATGAATGACAAGAGATCTTCAGAGCTAGTCAAAGGCCATGCTTGCAGTTTAGATAAGCTTATCTTCATTAAATCAGTCTCATCAGAAGTACAGAGAATGCAACACTGAGGAAAGTCTATTCTCTCTCCCACCCCAAAGATGGCGGAACAGGCACTCACTTCCACAGCTGCGCATTCAGATGCTTCTCCACCATGAGGTTGAGGGCGCAGCGAAGCCGGTTCCACCTGGTGTCAAACACGTAATAGCCTCTTCCAATTTGCCGGCTCCCGAATGTGCAAAACTGAAAGACAGAACACGATCTTGTGTGCTTGTTGACTCTGACAGCACATGCCCAGGGAGTGTTCTCTTTCCTCCAGGAGAGGAGCTAACCATGAAGACAGAGCCTTCTCTGAGTATTGTTGGCTGTGAAGCATGAGAGTGACAATGCCTAGCCCTGAGTTTCATGGAAGATAGAGGATAAAGCATGAGACATCCCCGACAGATACATGCCACTTCTGGGGTGCTCCATGTGCTCTTGTACCTTGACCACATCCCACACAGACAGGCTGGCCAAAATCTCTGGCACGCCTCTCTGTAGTGCCCTGTCCCTGCTACTGGGAAGGTCAACAAGGGGGTAAATGTGGAACTTACAGATGCTGGCTGAGGATGATGACCTGAATAATGACAGTCCAGTTTTTCAACAGACTCTTCTTTGTCATCGCCTTCTCCCTCCTCACTGGATAACCGAGAAGCTGGCTCAGTGGCAGGCAGGGGAGGGTGTGGAGATTCATGGACTGGAGGAGGGTCAATGGGGGCACTCCCACCTTGCTGAGCAGGGCAGCCTGGAGGCCTTGGTGAGCAGAAAGTGCAGCACTGATCAGATCACATGTCTAGGAATCAGCCGCCTTTTAACTGAGATTACAACAATGTATCCAAAACCACTTGGAAGAGGTCTGAGGTCCACCACTAGCACCAGGGAAAGGAACCTCTCTCCTGCACTACATGATGTCAAGGGCCAAATCTAACCAAAGGTTAACATGTAACTAGTTCTCTTTTCTACAGCTGCTCAGCTGGGTCAGGTCCTCCTAAGGGGAAAAAAATGCATGGAATTTATGGGGATTCTTTGATTCTTCTTCAAAATTCATCTTGTTTGGGGTTACTAAGGCAATAAATGAAGTAACTGACAAGTGCTCTCAAAGAACCTAGGAGGGACAGGAGTTGATAAAAGAATGAGGTAACATTACCACATTATATGGATAATCTAGAGCCTTTCATAATTTATTTTTCCCTACATAAATAAAGGCCTCAGGTTTTAAAATTAAGCTTAGTTGTGTAGACAGAAAATCTTCAGTGAGAAGATAGCAAAAGAAAGGACTTGCTCAAGCACTCGACGCTGGGACCTGGCCACACTGAGAAGCCACCTCTGACCTGTCCTCTACCGTGTGGCTCTGAGACCACAATGGTCATGTGGAGACAGGCTCAAGCACACTTTTGGGTTTCCCTGAGGGAGATACTTTTGCCCCTCATGCTACCAATTCAGGGACTGGGCTTGGGAAGGTGAAACATTCACCCACAGCAATCAAGGGGGGCACATTCCTAAGCAGAAACACTTGTTGCCAATGGCCAAAACTGAAGGCCCTCATTAACTAGGCTCATCTCTTCCTTTTCCTCTGAAAATTGGGTGCAAAGTCCTTTACTTTCACTTGGTTAAATATACAAGCACAAACATACACATATTCAGTACACCAGCACAGTGTAGGGTAAAACACCATTGCTTATGATACTGCCCAGATACCTACGATATGCATATGTCTAAGTCCCAAATGAATGAATGAAAAATATGTTGATAAACGGATGCTGTAAAAACTTGAGCTGAGTATCTATCCCAAGCAACGGTTCCCACAGCTATATTTTGCAAAATGTGAGACAAATGTATGGGAAATTGCAGCCAAAGCCACGGGAAATGTTCCAGGACCCAGGTTGCAACCCTGCTCAATAAGGTCGAGACACCTAATGTTGAATAAGGATAGAGAATGTATATCTAGCTTTATTCTGATGCTTCCCTTTGGCCAAGAAGAGCTCTGGATGAAACTTACTGAAGAACTCAACACTTTTTAGAGTTAAAAAACCACTATTTAACAACCACCTCCGTAGTAAACATGATAGATGTTCCTGCACATTACAACTGCACTGGGGTTTTGTTCCCTGGAGGAGGGAGAAGGAGTTGGGGGATTTGGCTTACCTTGGAAGACTGGGGGTGTGAGGTTTAGGTTTACTAGCTACGAAAGGCTTTGATTCAGAAGGAATCACTCCATGAGAGTTTTGGTGTGGCTCCTGTGAAGTTCTAGGAGGGGCGGGATGCGAGTCCCTGAGAAGCTGTGTTGGTTGCTGAGAGTCCAGATGGCGAATCGATTCCTTTTCCCTGGTTTTGTTTTTGTGCTCGGCTAATAACACATCAAATCGTTTTCTTCTACCCTGGACAGCCCTCCGCTGGGCTAAGGAATGTGTCTACAGACAAAACAAACAAAAAAAATACAGAAGCTGAGAATTCAGAAAAGGACTTTTCTCTGTTATATATCCAAAACACCATTCCCAGTGAAGGTGCAATCTGGACCATTAGCATAGTCAGAGGCTGTTCAGCATTTGATAAGCTAAAATCTTAAGGGTAAAATCTTTTCTCTTCAGCTAGAATAGAAGCACATATTCCAGCTCCAAATGTACGAGGTTTTGGCAATATTACTTCTACTAGTAGAAAGAAGTGTGTTCACTGAGACACCCAATATGTAATTGAGCAGCAAAGAGTAGAAACACACAGCTGACAGGCACTCAGATAATGTGCCATAGTAACAATTTGTTTATTAGGATTCTAACAGGTCATTAGAAAAAAACCCTCTTTTGGGTCAGTTAAAGTTCCGAATGCTAAAAAGGAAAACAATTACTCCATAAAATATGTATCAGAGAGTCTTCTTTCAGTAACAGTCAAGAGTAAATATTAAACACAGTTGCTTCTCTCTATTCCAATGAAAATGCCATTAAAGAGAGAAAATGGCTCAGAGCATCCTGGAGACAGAGACTACTTTGGTGACTCAGAAAGACTTAAGATAAGTAAAGAATGTAAGGCTGAAAGAAGGCTCAGAAAAGGAAGAGGCAGAAAGCAGAGTGAATTCCTATAAAGACACTCACTATGGAATTTAAGAAAACAGGACAGACAGCAATTTTGAATCCTAAAACAATGCCTAATTTCAGAATTGAGAAATGGACACACCAAGAAAAAGGAGAGTCAAATTAGGCCAAAGCCTTTCTTAAAAGTGTAATTAATATAAACCAGTGTTTGAAGTACACCTTATAAGAAAACATCTAAGCTCCAAATGCATTTTGACGGGGAATACTGGTGTGATTTTCTTTTAAGGCTCAGTTGGGGCTAATAATAGTCCCAGCAGAAGATAAAGTCAAGTTAACCTGACCATTCGATACTGTTGGGTTCTCAGTCTGTAAAAACTGCAAGGAGACAAACTACAGTGGCCTCAATTCAAATATCCCAAATGTAAGTAACTTCAGCTGTGCTTCCTTCACTCTTTCATGTTACAAAACACTGCAAACAACACTTTGTATGTGTTTGTAGCCTTACTATTATACAAATGATTTGCTCTATAGGTTTACTTGTTTACTACTGTTTAAGGGTAAATTAAGCTTCTAACACTGTCGAAATTCAATAACATAACCTACTTCTTCTATAGACATATCCAACAGACTATGAAATGAATATGTCTGTTTTTGAAAAATATTCCATTTAATTTACTTGAATATGCAACATATCCACAGAAATCCACCTAAATGAAGACAAGGAACTTTTTTCGTTCAGTGCTATACCAGCACCTAGTATAGCACCTGTGAGCAACACATGGTTCAGACTCCCCCACCCTGCCCACCCCGCAGTTCATTTTAAAGAGTAAATAGGATTCTCACTGAGCTCTGAAGAACATTTCAATTACTGTTTACTCCCATCGGAATGTTTCTGGGGTTGCATAAGGCTCCTAGGATAAAGACTGACAGTGTAACCAGCTTCTGGGGTCTTGAACACTCCAACACCTGTGTTTCCTGCTCCTGATCCTTTGGTTTCAAGTATCTACTTCTGTTCAACTTTCTGTCTGCCTTTTAGACCCCCAAGGATTTGTTTTGCCCTGTCACAGAGTCGTCACACATGATGTTTGCTCTTTTCTCCCACCCCACTCTGCCTGCATGTCAGCCTGGCACTCCTATGGCAAAGGAGTGAACCTTGGTCCAATCTCCCTAGTGAGAGCTTCCTAATACAAGTCTCCCTACTTATTACTCCTCGGTGGTAACTGTATACTTACTTGAGTGATTATCAGATTAAGCTTTATGTTCCCAAGAGTAGAGAACATGCCTCAATTTTGTTCAAGTCTGTATCCCCAGGGACCTAGAATGAGGCCAATGCTCACAGATGTCTGCAATAAAAATTTCTAGTAACGGACTGGATAAGGCTACCAGGCAAAATCTATATGCATGGAAGGTGCAGAGATCACGAAACAGGATAGACCCAGCAGAAGATAAAGTCAAGTTAAACTGACCACTCCATACTGCTGGACAGATGAGATAGGAGAATGAGACAGCAGGTGACAGGGACACAGCAGGGAAGTAGTGACGGCAGTGGGCAGCAGCAGATCCCCTGACAGTGAATCTGTAGATAGTGTCTAAATCTAAGACAGCAAAGACCAGGGTTGAAATGTGCGGGACATTCAGCAGGGCCACTCAAGTATGCTTAGCCCTCCTCAGTTCAATAGATTCAGGCCAGGATTGAGGCAGAGGAAGAGAACAGCACTGACACAGCAAGAGTTACAGGTGTGAAAAGGCAGGTCTGCTCAGATGCCACGTATTCTGCCAGCCCTATGCTAAACTCATGATAAGTGAGGGCTGAGGATATATATTAGCGCATGGCAGGCTTGATACTGTGCTATAGACAGCAATTACACCCATAACAGAACACATGGAGAGCACATAGAATTTGGAAAGGAAGATGGATTAAAAATGCAAGATTCACATAAGCCAATTCAAAAAAGGCTTGTCAAACTCTCTTGATTCTGTGTTTAATAAGGGTTTGGTATGTCAGCATGCCTCACAGATGATTTAAAGAGAGTAACTTAAATAAACAAAGCATCTTTCATTGACCAGAGGTGCTATAATACGGAGAGTTAAGTAGCAAAACAGAGAGGATGGAAGCTGTGATCAGACTGTGGAATAAGGCGGACAAACTCTTTCATGCGTTCCTTTGGGCAGCTGAAAAAGACACAATTCTACAGAACTCAAATGGCTAACTGAAAACAGTAACAACACACTACTACATCTCCAATTTATATTAAACAAAAGCAATGTGCTCAGAGATAGGAGTTTTGACTTATATATATATTCAAGGATGGGCTCAGGTGGGGATGTCAATCAACCCAAGTTAGAATGCAAAATTCAGAATATATGTGCATAGGTGTATAACAGTGATTTAAAAAACATAACAGTGCTTTAAAAAATAAATATTTAAAGTTACTCTTCATCAACCCTTTCCCAAAGATTCAGAACCACTTTTGTAAGAAAATATACACATCACACTTAAATTAGAAATTTAAATTAAAATAAGAGCCACTTAGCAATAACAGCTCTCATTTCTGAAGATTATAACATTCCTCCACTGTTTAGGAAGTGCACTGGGACCAGATATCTTTTATTCAAATGCAATCTGTTGTAAAATTTAAAATAATATAATTTTTACCAATTTTCAGAACACAACATTAACTTCTGTAATTTTTAACCCCTCCTCCCAAACAACAGTTTTTGAATTACATACTTCAGTAATTCTTAAAACTTCTGAAGCCCTTCTGAAGGGCAGTTGGGAATGCTCTATAGAGAACTGCACATAAACATAGGTGCTCAACTATGTAGGAGAGCAATGTTGCCAGAAAGCCACTCCCCACAAAAAACGATGCTAATTTTACAGCATGTATACTACCTTCCTATTAGGATATACTGGCATTTTTTTTTTTTTAAGGTAGTCTTCAGGACAGAAAGAACAATCATTCCATTTGTTAGCTTATATAGAAGTTAGATTTTATATTACTAGTATTTTTTAAAAACTAGAAAAATAAAGCTCTCTTCTCAAAGTCTCAAAATTTTTAAAAAATAGTTCTTTAAATTTAAGAACCACAGATCATACACACATTTTAAGAATATTTACAAACACACACACAGAAATTTCTGCTTGTTCTAAGTGAGTACAATTTAAACCACAGTCAAGGGTAGACTCTCATATTAATTTTATTTTAAGAAGTAGCAAGTCTTTGTATTCCCCTAGATACAATGCTGCCCACTGAAAACAAAAACTCACTTAAGATTGCAGTTTGTAGTAAAAGATGTCACACATTCTGAACTTGAAGTTTTCTTCACAAAACCAAGTTATTCCCTCATTTACAAAATTCAGAACCATCCACAGGTCATCAGATCTCCTCTGGGCTAGACTCTGGGAGCAATGCAATGCAGTCCAGTTCCTGTGTATCCCCCAGTGCCTTTAGCTCTGTCCCAGAGGCCACCTACCTTGCATGTCAAAGACCGAGTACAGGGCTTCTTGGTATCGAGATCGATGACCCCACAGTGTATGTCAGGATCAAACTCTCTTTCTGTCAAAAGCACACAGACATTACATTGGGCTCACCAAACCCTTCTTCATTTTTTTTTGTAAATAAGAAAATGGGAAAACACTCAAGACCAATAATAACTTGGATAAAATCTACCAGATTATCAATCAGTATAAAATATAAAAAATGTGAGCTCTGCAAAGCAGCAGCAATACCACTAAGTGAGAAACTACTGTCATTAGATGACAGCAAAGAGACGATTTAAGTCATTATTTGTGCATTACTCCATTCAGAAATATACCACTAGATGATATATTTACATTACTTATACACACACCTGCTCTTTAAAACCAAGAGTGAGAAGGACAAGCATACTGTTTAAGGAACTTCCGCCTAAAGCTGAGATAGATCAGTAAAAGAGGACTTCAGAGAACAGTTCATTTGCTCTTCCGTGAACACCCAACCTATAGAGAAACAGTAGGACAGAAAACGCAAAGTTACCTGATAATCTCTTATTTAAAAATTTCCTGTTATTGGAATTATCTTCAGGTTTCTTTTCCAGAGTGGGTGGTGCAGGAAGCCCTTTGCCATTCAGAATCTGTCCAGGTGAAGGCAAGGTTGGCTTTGGTATTGAGGGGCAGTTAAGGCCAGGCTTGACTGAGGAACTCACAGTAGCAGGACAGGTTGGCCCCACCGTAGATTTCAGTAGTGTGCCATCCATCTTCGGATGAATCTTTTCCACTTTGACAGAAGGTGTCATGCTGTTGTAGGGGAAAGCAAGAACACCAGCAACTGAGTGCCCCAACATCCCCAAATGAATGGGGATAAGGGCAGAGTCCTGGCCTACCCACACAGAACTAGGCTCCCAAAGACACCTTATGAATATCTGTTAAGATAATCAAGAAAAGTCAGTAAGACTTAGTTTATAAGTCCTTCTGTCAAGCAAAATGCTCCAGTAGAACACAAATTTACTTGGTCTTTCATCATTCCAAAGCAGTCTTACAAGTGAGAATGTGGGAGATCTAGACATGATACTCAATACAATTTCTGCAAAAAGCAAGCTATTAAAAGGCCTATATTGGCCAAAGACTAATTGCAGGAGACCTTTAGAGAATATCTTTTGAGAACTGTCATTTTAAAGAAAGAATCACTCAAAACAAAGTAAACTTAGAGAGCAGAGATAAAGAACACTTGGAATTAGAGAAAACTTCCAAGAAATGTCACCGGGGACTTAGAAGAACTCAAACGGGCCTCGCAATAAATCTCCAAGGAGAGGCTCTCTTTCTGTCAATGAGGAAGACCAATGTTTATTTACTGTATGATGCGCCACTGATGTGGTAATTCGCCATTCCCTAAAAAAGGTTTCTGTGATAGGATCTTGGAATATAAGCACCTGGCACACAGCTGGAGAGTACTGAAGACCTGTGCCAATAATAACAAAATAATTACTTCTGAAATCTTACTAACACTATCAATTGGGTAGCACATGTTGGTACAAAGCTAACAGTTGGCTTGGTCGTCCTTCTTAAGCCCAGATCCACATAAAGATTTGGATTGATGAGGTTTTATGAACTTGGTTCAGTGGAGTCAGTACTCTGACAGCTGTTAAGCTTGCAAGTGACTTGCACACTGCACTGGCATTTTATTTGGCTTTCAAACAGCTCCAGGAAATAAAGCCAAACTTGCTGTACTTGCACTTCTGACAGATGAGCAGAGGCTGGGGGCTTAGCAACCAGGACAAACAGCTCCAAACAGCTGTACCTGGAACATCCTGACAGCAGCAGAGACACTGCAAGATGCCATGGTCTCTCCCAACTGGCAAGGTCCTTGAGCAGTAGCAGGTGCTGGATGCTGCCCTGAGATTAATCAGGTTATCAGACCTTGGGAGTGAGATGTATGACATACCCTCTAAAGGGGAAGAAGGCCAGGGGAAAACCACCAGCCACTAAGCTGAGGGATGCCAGGAAACGGCAAGATGTGTTTCTATGGGAGTGTACAGTTGCTACCTCAGGTGACCACCAGGTGAGTGCCAACCTACCAATTTGTTGGAAACTTGCCAAAGTCTTGCGTGGTGAGTGTGAACTTCTTCCACTCTTTCTTTATCACTGCTGTGATGTGAACCCAAGATTGGGGGAAGGAAACCGTGCTTCCCTATTTCCTTTGCAGGCCCCTAAAAACCTTAGAATAGCATCTGGGAAGCTTTTCATCTTTTTATTCTTAGTATAATCAACAGCAGCAGCAGAAGCACCAGCATCCATTCATTTCCTGTCTCCTGTGGGTCAGACGCCATGCCAGTTGCTTCACTCTAATATGTGAACTCTGCTACTCCCAATAACTCTGCACAATGACTGCTGTTTTTAGACTCTGAGAGAAACAGTGCCATGTCCAAGGTCACACAGCTAGGAAGTGAGAGAGGTGGATTTTGAACTCATGCCTATTTGACTTTAAAGCCTCCAGGCTAAAATTCCTTAAATTTATTACAGTTCCTTCTCCTTATCTGGAATTAAGATAATTAAATGACATGTTGAGCTAAGTTTCAATAGCTAGCATGCAGTAAATTATCATTATTTATTAATAAGCATTATTAACCTTATTGCTATTCTGTAAAATCTCCCAAGATAGGGAAACAGAAACAACAACATATTTGAATTTTCCAAGTGACTTTCTTTCACATTATTCACAGATACTCTCAGATGGCTGGAGTACACAGTTCCCCTCTCAGCAGGCAAGCTTTAAGACCCCTCTTGGCCATACTCACATTCTACTATGGGAGACTCTATTTTGATGAATGTGATGCATTGGCCTGTTGTTCCCCCTGAGCTGCAGTTTCTCTTTGGGCGATTTCAACAACTTGGAACTTAATGAGGATGCACTTAGAACCCCTCCACTGGAAGAACGGCTGCTTCCACTGCCACTGCCTCCTTTGCTTTTGGACAGAGAAGGGAAGAAGGAAAATACTGACGTGGGAGGAACAACCAGTGAAGGCTTGCTGGATGAGCTATGTCTTCTTTCTGCAAAGGAAAAGAAAGAAAGGTAAGACACTGTGTTTAGGGCAAGTCTCCTAAGGAGCCTAGATGAGTCCCCTGAAATGATCACATTTGGATTGAAAAATACGCATCACTAGGTGAAAATATATTAAACTTAGCAGCGTTCAGCAATGGCTTATTTAGGTCCCACAGTCTTATTCAGGATTCTAGGAACTGGTCCTTCTGCTTAGGAAACGTCTCAACATAAAGAGGTTCATCATACGTAGCCATGGGGAAATGAAACAGCCTTTCTAGACCTGCGAATATTGGGTTTTACATGGTTAGAAATGAACCTCACTGGCTCCAACTTGTAGTCAGAGAGAGAAAAATTATTCATTCATCTGCAGAGTTCTGCTAATTGACACCACATGAAATTCTTCCTTTCTAGCATAATACCTCTCCAATTTTCAAAATAGCAAAATGTTAAGAAACAAATTGTACCTTCACTTTTTTTCCCTGTCACTACCCACCAGCATATGACACCAAATAAAAATGTTTCTGAGGTTATCTTATCATTCCTTAGAATCTGTGCTGAAATTTTCCAGTGAATCATTTCACTCCCTTTTTTAAAATAATCTCACTTGACTACAGATGGCACAGCTCCGGTTCACACCACTAAGATGCCAAAGGCGCAAGACAAAAATACCACAAATAGCTACGCCTGTTTTTTAAACCAGGAAGTAATTCATAGTTAAGTACAGACTACACAGGTTTAACTGAAAATAAATCTACCCACTGGAGAATCAGGTTTTCTCAGAGTAAGGCAATGCATACTAAATAAATCTAGATCTGATGTTCTGTTACCACTAGAAGCCAGTAAATTATTTGGTAATTTTATCTAGTTAAGTGCCTTATTGTACCTTACTGGCTGCCTTCAATTAAACTTATTTAAAATGACACATTTACTTAGCTGCAATATATATGGCCCAATGTTTACTTATAGCATGGAAGCAGTAGGAGTACTTAAAAAATTAAGCACACTGTAATCAACAATAAGAAGCATCACTAAAATGGTTAATTTGCCAAGTTCTCTCTGTTTATTTCCAAATCTCTCTGTAAAGTTGCAATGACTTATTCCTGAAGGACATTAATTAATTCAATAAATGCTATCAGATACTTAAGAAGCTACTCTACGCCAGGATAAAATCACTATGCTATCTATAGATAAAATTTAAATTTTCCACATTGATCACACTAAGTCCACAAACAAGTTAGGAGACCACATTAATAGTGATTTGTAAGTGCCTATTGCTTTTTTTTTCTTTCTGACACGGAAGTTGTGTTTAAGGGAGGAAAACTAAATTAACTTAAGCTTAATAATTTTCCAAATTTGGCATCTGAGGTTTTTCTTTTTCTTCAATTTTTTTCTCCTCTGTGATTCCAAAACATTCTACATATACTTCCAACCATCAAGCACTTGGCAGCCTAGATTGAAAAATGTGTTTATACTTCTGCTGCCTGTCTTGGATGACAGGTCTTCCCTGTGTCTTGTCTTGGTCATTTCTTTCTGAAAGCAAAGTGGGCATTCAACTAGTATTTGCATGATTGGTACAGCTTTTCTTGTGGATAGGAATGAATTTCAAATGGCCCTACACTAGTGGTTCTCAACACTGGCTACTCTCTTTCTCTGGCATAACCTATAGCTTACAAGCTTAAAAAATACTGATGTCTAAGTCCCATCCTCACCAACTGGCTGGTATGTGGTCTGGGCACCCAAACTTTTACAAGCTCCCCTGTGTGATTCCACTGTGCAGTCAAGGTTGAGAGCCTGCCTTACAATAGATTAATGCCTCAAGAACTATTAGCCACAGCTGAGTAGAGCCCAGAACACTGCCTGGCACATGACACTCCTAATCAGGACTTGTTAATTAAACTCACTAGTCAACTAGTGTTTTCCAAATTGCCATCAATTGCAAACTATTTCCATCATTCTTACTAAAGCCACATAAAATACTACTTTTACCCAACATTTTTATTTAAGTTATGATCTCTACTGTTCCCTCCCCCATAGTTTAATATTAATTGGTCACTCCTAGGGGCATCACTGGTATTTTAGACAGGACAATTTTTTTTTCTTTTTAAAGATTTATTTATTTATGCATACAAGAACTGGGGTACAGGCCAGAGGTGTGTGTGGGGGGGGGTGGTGGCGAGAGGATTCACCAGAGACAGAGTGGGGAACAGAACAGGCAGATCTACTGAAATACACTGCTGAGGGGAGCAGCGGGTGAAACAGGAGAGGTCTGCTGCGCCATGTGGGTAGCTCCCTGGCTGGGGATTGAACTTGTGCTGCAGTGGCTGCAGACAGCTTCATAGGTTGCGTCTTAACCCCTTGAGCCACCAGGGAGGCCCAGACAGGACAATTCTTACAGAGGATTTCACAATGGTTAGAATTCCTGGTCCCCCACCTCTTATCACTAGTAGTGCTCCTTTGCCAGGAACAAACTCAAATTACCCCCCAACCCATTTTCAAATGACCCAATATGAACCAGTTCTCAGCTGATAACTATTTTTCTAAAACAACAGTACCATGAACTAATAGGCTTGGTAAGCTTATATATATATATATATATATATATATATATGTATGTATTTTTTTCAGATATACATTCTATTTAAAATATTCATCCATGTTAATCCACAAAAGTCATCTGTGTACCCCCGGTGGCAGCATACTGCAGTACAAATAGCATGACTGTGGTACAAAGAGGAGGAGAAACCCCAACTAGAATTTTCACATTTCCTTTTACTATTTCCAGGGTATCAGAATTCTCAAGAGAGTATCTCAGAGAAAATGTGATGTATTTTCTGTTGCTATCAAATGATGTAAATAAAATTTTCAATATAGTCAGTTCTGCTATAATACTTGTCTTGAGAATGTAAACCTATTCCAAAGCCAAAGACATATTAAGGAACCATTTCAGTATAATGAAATTTGCATTTACTTTTGCAAGAAGTAAAGAAGCACTGCAAGAAGCACTAGGTGAACACAGAAAACTACATCCGGCTAAACTGAGCCGCATGGGAATGCACATAACACCTCCAGCTCCCTCTTCCAAACATCTACTGAGCTCTTCAGCTCACACCAGGTGTTAGGAGCCACACTATCCACATTTGCTGTGACAAGTTTTTTGAGTTTTGAGTGTTGGGCCCAAATCCCATGTTTCCAATGAGTCTCATGTGGTTTTTATTATGCAATTTTGCATAGTGCAGTAATTTTTCAGGAATGCATCTTGTGTTATAGCAGAACTAGCTGTAACTTCAATCCTGTTCTTTTAATTTTCTATTCCCAGCATAGTCTGCTCTTCCTGTATTCTTTAGTTAATGCCTCTTTTTTGTCTATTAACTCTTGATAAGGGATTTTTCACTAGAAAATTGAGATTCATAGCTTCCTAACATTTAAATAAGCTCATATAAAGATAACATTTTTAAAAAATCTTATTTTCTACTTCAACAATAAAGGTTATTTAAAACTAAGAATTACAATCTAGCATGTAACATTTTTTCATTCATTAAATTTGAAACAGAATGTATGTGTGTGTGTGTGCATGTGTGTAACTGAGATTCTGGCTAAAGAATGCCAGTTCAAGTCCTTGTTATGAAGCTGAATGAAATTGTTCTTTTATATCATAGTCTGGTAACTTATTCTCTGGAAAGGGCAGCATCTGGCTTTCTCTTCACAAGAAAGCTAAAAGGAAAAAGCAAATTATAGTTGAGTTAAACTCTCATTCTTTCACAACAAGCCCTTATTTTTCATAAGATTTTTAACTGGGCATCCAACTTTAAAAAAAAAAAAAAAAAAAGCATGTGTTCCTAGATCAAAAGAAAAACGGGCAAGTTTTGGATAGAGACCTTACATTAAGTGGGCAAACTGGTGGGCAGATGCTAAGCTTAACTGCAGTGTGGTTTGGTGAGGAGTCCAAGTGGGGTTTTCAAAGCACTTCTCTCTCCAAGGGATGGCACCAGGCCAGGGAAAGCACACTCTGTTCCTGAATGAGGATGGTGCTCATTCTGAATGGCTTCAGCAAGAGGGAGAGATAACAGACCAACAGAGAAACAAATACAGAGACAGGGCAAGAAAAAGCAGACACAGAGAAAGACAGACATGAGTGAAGTATGTGTGTGAACTGGAGAGACAGTGTGGAGATAGGCAGAGGTAGAGAAAGAGGCAGAGGTAGAGAGGTAGCAGAGGCTGAGGAGGAAGAGAGAGAGACAGGAGAGAAAGGGAGGAAAAGAGGGAGAGAGGGGAAGAGAGAGAGGAGCAGGAAAGAACACCAGTACCAGTGCTTTTGACAAAGAGCTTGAAGGATGCACAGACTTTTCTTTCCCCTGTGGCATGAACATGTGACTCCACTGAAGGCGAGGGAGGTTATTAGGGAAGAACAATGGGACAGAATAATGAGGAATTTGGAATTCATGCTGACATATGTATATCATATGTACATAAGTGAAACACCCAGATACAAACCAAAGGAGGATTCAAATCAAGGAATTAAATCTTTTTAGATCACACACACACATACAGCTTTGAAAATAACAAAAAGAATTTATAATACATAAGTGTCAAAGTTAGGATACAAACCTTAAAAGCAGTCAAAGCATTCATGTTTGAAAAGGACGTATGTCGAACTTTTTTGGACGTGATCATCCCTGTTGTTACAGGCATATTTTTGAAAAATTTTTGCAAACTAGTTAATTTTTATTAATAAATAGGGTTTATTTGATTATCAAATACATTTTTAAAAAGCAGAAATTTCACACTTGTCGAAATACAACAAGGCATGTTATCATTAATGGGCATACTATCAATTTGTCCCATTCTCAATTAAGACCAGGCAATAGTGGCTACCACTACTAAGAAAACCCCACAAAACTATTTTTACTCAGGGTCTTTTTTTGTGTGTTATTAAGCTCTTTACTAATCTTTTATAATCTAAACACAGGGCTGATGAGACTCCTCACCTTCAACAACAATAATTGCTACT